TGTGCCCTCTTTCCAACAAAAAAAACCATAGAAATCGGTTCACAAATTATTTTTAGCCGGAGTTATTGCGTAACATACATACTAAAAGAAAATACAAAAAATAAAACAGTCGAATTGAGCACCTCGTCCTTTTTCAGTCGGTTAAAAAGTGAGACGTGTTTGCCATTATCTGCTGACTTGCAGAGTACACGGTTGCTCTTGTGCGATTTCGACCGGCAATGACTGCAGTGCAGATCTGCGCCGTGTCGCGCATCGCTAATGCGTCTAGACTTTTTGTGAACGAGAGTAGTATGAATCAATTAAAGCGTGAGGGCCAGTGTACAACGGGCGGCTTTATTGCTAAGTAGCAATTTCTTCCAGGCAACCTTAGCACAGAAATTTAAGAGTTGAAGATTGGGGGTGCAACCAAAGAATATCTTGTAATGAAAACTGGTTTGATTTATCCGGTTGTATAATTGCGTCATGTGCGAAAAACCAAAGTTTTATCTACAAGGCACTTCAAACGAATTCAATCTTTAAAGTGCAGCAGTTTTTTGACGCAATCATTGGCAAACAAATTAATTGATATTGTTTGTGGTTTGTTCTAATATTTGAATTCTCCATTATGAATGGCTGCGTCAGAAAATAAGAAGCAAGTTACTACCTCTACGCTAAGGGCCACGACTTGAAGCGAAAATTGTTATTAGTTCGTGTTAAGTGAGTAATCATGGTAGTCTAAAGATCTATTTTATAATCTAATAATAGACTAAGCTACACGAGCCATAATCTAGTTTTGTGTACAATTAAAGTAATTTGAATAAAAAGATTATTTAAAATGATAGAAAAAGGTTTTTTCATCTAAGAACACTACTACACTGAAAACAAATTGACTCTTGTCAAAGACTTGGAGATTAATGGAATCAATTATCATTCAATGGATGATTAATCCAATTAAGCAGTGTGATTTATTCCATTAACAAGTCAGTTTTTTTATAGTATTATTATTAGGGATATGAACATTGATATTTATCACGATTTCTTTAATCATTCAGGTACTTCTCAAAGACAGACAACAATTATCTTATACAATTTTTCCCGTGAACAAGTAGTCACTTATTCTCATATGCGAGGTATAAATATGTATTCTTCATGTGCGTATTGAAAGAAATGAAAAACCCCGTCAACTGCGTAGTAAAATTCACCCTTAATTCTCGTCACGTGTGCGCTTCGATCCCTCATCCCTAGGTCGTTAACCCCTCGTTTCTCGGAACGTCCGTAAGGGTGGAATCTGCGTCCCTTACAATTAATTGCGTTATTTACTAAGTGTTACTTCAGTGGGATATAAATTGAGTTTTTTAAAATTAATCGTTAATGAGCATGACGTCCGAATGCAACCTCAAATGTCTTTTATTGATTACGCAAAACAGTGTAACTGTTGAATCAATCACTTAGGAAAGAATATATCGTAAAATTGAGGATATACACTGATTTACAATACGGTGTGAAAACATGAGTCCAAAAAATTTTCTCGATAGAAAACACAAACTTACCTCGAAAATTTAAACGAAAACCGCTGTATTCAATAGGTACTTTGCATATACCAATGATTTTTTTTTATAGGAACTGAACTAAATAGAACAAGCGTAGTAATCGATATACATTTTTCAAATAACTTTAATTTCGTTTCTAAAAAACTCAACGCAAGCAAAATGACATATATCTAGATATATTTATTTTTTATTTTTTTATTTATTTATTTGTATTCAGGTTACTAAGACCCATAAATACATACCTCATAGACTAACACACATAATAGTACAGTAAAACTCTCATATCGACTCATCCGAAGAACAGAGTCCGAAGTGATTATATAGCGAAAAGAGAATAAGTACGTTCCGAGAACAATTTCGTTATTCAAACCAAGGCCTATGTAAAGGTGTTTTGAGAATTTATATATCTTATTTTGTTTCGGAAATATAAAATCGAACAAAGGTCGATCTGACATCCACAGCGAAGAAGAACGAACGAAATGTACTATGTCCTGAGAACAAGTAGTCTTATACATAGACCTTTGTTCTACGGATGTATCGATATAATATATACCTTAAGGAATAACATACATACAATATAATAAAACAGTATTTCTAACTAATCTACACGAATTGCACTTGTCGACGACGTGTGGCACAATCTGGTGTCAGGTAACCGGCCGCGGAATCGCCGATACATGATACCCTTCGGCCAAAACTCTTCTTTCATGTAGGTCGATAGATGTTCGGTCGGTACTCTCACCACAAACGAATTAAAATTTACGTTGTGGCGTGGCTCCAGCCGCTCGACCCTCAGGGTGTATTTGGCTTTATGTCTGTTGTACTCCACTATCTCCTCAGACTTCTTGGAGTAACGCAGTCGTAACAGGTACAGCAGCGTCGTCGGTATGGGCGGACGCAGTAGGGAGTTCGGTCCTGTCGGTGCTGTGCCCCCTCCTCTTCATGACACTTCTAGTAGGGATGCTTTTAAGCGCAAGCTTAAGGCTCTCCTGCTGGAAAATCAAAAGGGATTGATTGTGTTAACTTTTTCCAGCACCTATTTATTTATACTTTTTATACACATTTGTTATATAATATATTAGTTGCTTGATGTGGGTACAGTGTATACGTATTAATTATTATAATGTGTTTTCATAGTTATACATAAATTATTTGGAAGTATTTAAACATACACAACACACACACCCACACTCACACACACATCTGTTACAGTTTTAATATGTACGTATATAATTTCAATTAAATTCGTATATAATTATTTTACTGTTATCTTCAAGTACCAAAGTATGCTTGCATATGTTGTTCCGTGAAAATCAGTGCTGGGAACGCGTTGCATTTTCCAGCAAATACTGAGTTTGTGACCCTTTTGTTACCGCGGCTGGCACCACACAAGGTATCTCAATATTTAGTCTTCTTTTTATTATTTGTGTGAATAGTTCATGTTTTAATTTTATCAAATTTTTGTATATACATTTTTTTGTGTTTGTTCGTGTTTTTGTTTCGTAATTATATAACTGGTTACGGCTAGTGGGCTTCCTCTTTCTCTTCATCATCTTTGTGAAGCCGTCCTCATCGCACAGGTCCGTCTGCCTCTGTGATTGTGCAACTTCAGAGACAGGCTCACGGGGATTGTTTTTGCTCTTAGCCGATTGCCGCCGCTCGAGTTTCGAAACGGCGGGTCGGCTGGTACAAGCGGCTACAGCGGCGTATGCACGTGCAGGGGCTGACATGCACACGCGTGACGTTTCCGCCGGCACCATTTGTGCCGACTCGACATTGCTGATGGATACATTTTGCGCCTCACGTCGCGTGTTTATATTAGAGCCTTCTTGTGACCTACACACCGTAGCAGCGTTGCTTAATAACGCAACTTGGGCACGCAGCTCACTTAGGGTGTTATCTGAAGGCTCCAATTTAAACTGCAACTCGGCCATGCTTGACTTCAGGGAAGAAAAATCCTTCAGCAGCCTGGTGACATCGACGTGATCGAACGTGACTGGGGGCAGCTTGTGCAGCTCCTTAGCCACGAATATAGGCACGTCGTCCGTGCAAAGTTATCGACTTATTTCGTTCGTAGAATCTTTAAACATCTTTCCTGAGAAGTTTCCATTTTGCACGTTTGACCTTGTTACACCAATGGTGGGGTATCATGATTATTTTTTATAATACAAGCACATAATACACAAGTCTGATGGGCCCTGCCACTGCGCCCGTCACCCTTAGACATACATAAGTTGACAAGTGCCATGTGCCTGTACTTTCGCCAGCACCCTTACTGAGTCAAGATTAATGGACTCAATCATCATTATGTATGTACTAGTGATGAAAGAGACTCAGTCTTTTAGGCCTTTTCAAAAACGTCAACTAATTTTTAACGCCTCACGACTAGTCTACTTTTTTAACCCTCAAGTCTTGAGTCATAAGATTAAAAATGAAGACTTTTCGATTCGAGTCGAATTCGAGTCAGTCTTTTAATAAATATAAATACAATTATTCGTTGGTCATAAGTATACTATACTATTATAAAGGCAATTGAACCCTGAACTTCCTAATTGTTCGTGGGCAATGAAAATTGAAATCGTCACCTGGTCCCAAATTTCCAGCACTATTAGTGCTGAGTAAAAAAAATTGTTTCGTCGCGCTATCCATCGTAGCCATAGCAGAATATCGAGTTCTTAGGTTTTCGCGATTGTTACACATAGGAAATGAAACTATTTTTCCGGATTTAAATCGCGTATATTTGTTTTTTCAAACAAACCGACGTTTCGGGCCCTTTACAGGTCCCATGGTCACGGTTGTCAACCGTGACCATGGGACGCGATACGATATGACATGATACGCGATTTAAATCCGTTAAAATAGTTTCATTTCCATAGCAGAATAGTTCATAGTTGGTTTTATCGGGAATCAGACTCGGGATTTCCTCAACAAGCGATTGTGGTATTAACTGCTGAACCCCTTAAATTGCACCGTATATTTATTATTAATATTTCTTATTGTCAGGAAAAAAAGAATGGTTATCCTGGGAAATTCCACATCACAACAAAGATCATTAAACTAATTATTGTCTTATCATAATTGTTATAGTAGCAGTAGAGGTCCTTGTGAAAGAGTTCATCCAGGGTAGTACTGCCACCTTATCTATTTCTGACGCTAAGCATTATGGCGAGCGTTACTGTGTCTTGGTTTTGAAGGTGCTGGTGAAATTACAGGCACTTGGCAGTGCTCCACAGATTTTTGTGGTTTAAAGCTCTGAGTATCACTGCAACTGTTATGGACAGGCGTGTCGCTTACCACAAGGCGTGTGAAATTGTTCGTCTCGTCGACTGATGTAAATAAAGCTAAAGGTAATACAAATGAAACTATTCAACATGTTTCTATATTTTTCTTTATTTCCCTTAATGAACCGTTCTCGTCTTAAAGTCTCAAAGTGTTTGTTGAATTAACTACGATAAAGCTAAAATGAACTCGACCAATGAAATTACTAACGTGGCAACTAATGATACAGAAAAACGCTACAACATTAATAATGATTCAGATAAACTTCTAACTCTGAATACGACGCTTATCGTAAATCACACCTTGTATGTTTATTTCGATTTTCTTCCAAATTCTTGAAAGTAGCTTTTCAAATTGGTACTATTCTTCTTTTCTATATATTTCGTCTTCGATATTTTTGTATCGTTGATGTTTGTATTCCAATGTACGACTCTTCAATCTATGAATTTCCATTACAGTATCGTGGATTCTTGCATGCACTCTGGGATGTAAGATCAAGGGATAATCTGCTATATTCATCCTGAATCTGAGATTCTTTATAAAGGTTGGCCAGCAGAAAGTTGCACAATTCGGTTGTTGACTTCCAGAAGCTCAGCTATATACTCCTCGTCGTTGATGATTGTGGCCAGACGGTTGAGGATCGAGAGGAGCTCTCCGTCACGAAGACGGAGCTGATCGTTGCATTGTTCTACTTCATCCACCAGTTCATCTGGAATCTAAAAAATGGATAGTGTTACTTTTTTGAATTACTGTGTCAATTTCTTATGTACATAGGTATCACCATACGGGTTGACTATATAATATGATTTCTGAAGACTTTTCAAGATTTCCACAATGTTTGCCTTCAACGTTTCAATAATTTGTTACTATCCTATTGATTGTGTCCTCATTTTGATCTATTCTGGCTATTGTTACATTATATTACAATTGACGTTTCGTGTAATATAATTTGGTGATATAAAATTTAAGACTTAAATTCACAATGGCACTTGCAGACGTAAGAACTGGAACGACGCCAACGATGCAAGGGTCATTGGCATTGGTGGCATCGATTTTTAGAATCAAATAAGGCACCTACTTGCTTATGGACTCTCCCCAAGATTTTAGGATATGGATATTATAATGGAAACTTTTGTTTTTTTGTACTACCTACTCTACTTAGTTCCTTGTTGTCTAAGTTTTTAAACATTCTATTCTTACACATTTACCTTCTGCAACTCAAGGAAGTGTTCGAACTTGAGTTTTTTCCTTTGCTTGCCGTTGTTGCCTTCGAAGAACATGGTGAACTCCTGCGTCTTGGGTTTCAATGGGAAGTAAATACCAGCCGTCAGACGACCTTTGGGATCTCTGGCTAGAAGACTCCTGAAAACGTCATTAATGTCTTGTTTAGATTAATTTTTTTACCAAGGATTATATTTCTGATAAACATTATTCTATTATCTGACTAGGTTTTGGCAGTTTACCTACCTTGTGTTAATATGTGAACTAGATTGAAACCTATCGACTATACACTTTGAAAAACATCGTTTTTAACTAACCTTAAGTCCCAAACCAGGTTTCTCTTCTCAGTAACACTGATAGCTGACAGATAGGCCTTAGCAACGTAAATGAGGGAAAGACGTTCTTTGACTTTCGCGCTTCTAGTCTCCCGCTCGTGCCACTCGATATAGTTGGTATTTAAGGTGTTGTACTGATAATTGTATTCCTTGCGACAATGCGGTTCGTCGGACTGCGTGAACCAGCCTGGAAAATAATGGAATATGAGGTAAATCCATTTTAGTTACCAAAAACAATGCTAAGGGAAGTAAAAAGAAACTGTTCTTACCAGTATGTGGGTAGCATCTATCTGCCATAACAGTAACGACTCTTGAGATGTGATAACCTAAATCAGACAGGAACACACCAGATCTCCCACCAATCCTGATATGTATTGCAACCATCACGTGATCTTTCTCCGTCTCGATTAGAAATCCCTGAGGCCCAGGACTTGAAGTTGCATAGTCCACCAGACTATCAATGTTCTCATCACACGATACCAGCATCATAGACTTCGTTATTCCAGGGAAATCCTTCTCCAGAACTTTGAGCTTCTTCATAACTTCCATGCCCAGACCAACACAGGTGTTTTTCTTCGGCCTGATCGGAGGATTGTACTTAGGAAAGTATTCCTTGAGCGTAGCATCCGGAGCAGCCATGTACGCGTCGTAAAGGGAGAGGAAGTTGTTAACTGAATCGTAGTTTTCTGAGACGACGAGACGGCTCAATATCGCCTCGGCTTTAGCCACCAGATCCTCGTATTTTTGAAGGGTTAGGTGGAGCGCCGGGCGCGGGGCCCCCCAACGCGGTGGCGGTAGGGGGTGATCAGCCGGCCATTGAGGGCCAGCAGGTTTGATAGTCCCGGAGCCGAGTCAGCTCATCCACTCGGCGCCCCAGCGGCCGACGATGCGGCGGATGGCGCGCTCCTCGCTCGAGGTGGACGCCACAGAGGCGGGGCTTGCGCCTGCCGCCCCTGGAGTGGCCTCTACGCCGTTCGGCGCTTCCGGAGACCACTCTTTATGCATAATTAACGGTTTTATATTTAACGTCTCTGTGGACAAAAAATAAAACATTAGTTACATTGTTTAATCAAAAACAAAACCGCCTTTACAGTTCAAGGACATGAAACACGGAACTATAATAGTATATAAGCATATTGTCAACGAATATTCATTGTTATAAGAGTTATCAATGGCTCCACCCTATCGAACAAATGTTGCCCAAGTTGGTACGCACGTGGACGTTATACATTTTATTGCTATCTGGAGTGTGGCTGCTCTGGCACGCGGCCAGCGCACACACGTGCAGAGCAGCGTAGTTATCTCCCCATACAGCGACGCTATGACGTATCTGTCTGGTCTGGGGAAATTCCATTAGCAACGCTAATGTCTAGATAGTTGCAACGAAAAGTGTATTTGTCAAAAAATTTATTCTACGTAATATTTTATTCTTTATTTCTCTCACGTAAAGAAAGAAAAAACGTTTATTCATTAAATTGAGTCATCAGTAGCGAGGCCTACAAATAACTCGATTCCCATTGGCTTGTCTAAAATTATCCGTGTATCATCAAATATTATAAATATTTTAAAGTAGGTAATTTACTACATTTTGTGCTCAATTTTACATGTAGAATAATTAACCAGTGAAATAAAGTGTCTCTTGTGTGCTTATAAGTGTTGTGTTTACTTGTCGCCATGGCGCCACTTGTTAAGGCAAGTGTTTTTTGTTTTGCTCTGGCTTTACTGTAGACAATTTCCACGCCTCGCCACTGGTCACTATACACACTTAAATCTATTTTTAACACTAAATAACAAGTGTAAATCACGCAGTGTGATTTTAAGTTAGTAAGTGCGTATAGTGGCGCAAGAAGAAAAGGATACGTCCCAGCAATATGTCCATCTCGGGCGAAACAGACGCTGCTTTTCAGTCGTTCCTTTTTCAGCGTTGGCTGAATAAGGAACTGGTAAGGAAATGGTACATACTGTGTGTATCCTCTGTTTTATGCCACACTACACATTTACGGTACACGTGCGATGCATGTATACATTATTTTATAAAAGCTACAAGTAAGTACACTTAAATATAAATCGACTCATCCGTAGAACAAAGATGTATGTGCAAGACTACTTGTTCACAGGACATACTACATTTCGTTCGTTCTTCTTCGCTGTGGATGTCTGATCGACCGTTATTCGATTTTATATTTCCGAAACGAAATAAGGTATACAAATTCTCAAAACATCTTTACATAGGCCTTAATTTGAATAACGAAATTGTTCTCGTAACGTACTTATTCTATTTTCACTATATAATCACATCGGACTCTGTTAGGACGGCCATTCTCACATTTGGTGTTCTCAGTTTTTCTCGCTTAATGTACCCAATAACATTGAAATAGGAACAACTTTAAGCTTAACTATCAATACGTCTAAATGGCATTAGAATAGACAGTTTTCGAGTTATTTAAGGCACGAATATTTTATGGAAACAGTAATTAGATCTGAATGAGAATGATATAATGACAAGAACAATGTAATAATTTACATTTTAATTATTTCTGCCCATAAAAAACCTTAAACGTTTTAAGAGATATATTTTATATCGGAGTAATTTATTACAAAAAGTGAAGAAAATTTAATCAAAGGTATTTATATATTGTTAATTGTTCTTTATAATTTTGTTTCCTTAAAAAAATTAAAAATTTTTGAATTACCGTATCCAAAGCTACGGTAACTAGATCTTATTACCTTTCTATTAAATATTTGTTTTTTAATAACTCGAAAACTCTTTGTATATTCTAATGTCACTTAGACATATTGATGGTTAAGCATAAAGTCGTTCATATTTTAGTGTTATCGGGTATGTTAAGCGAGAAAAAACAATGGCCGAGGAACATCCGCTATCAGAGCATACGCTGGTTTTCTATCGACAGGTACCAATACGTATGAATAAATATTACACTGAACCACATGTTCATGATGTTATAGTTTCAGAGAATGTACATTAAACTATATTCCAATCAAATCTCTATTCATCAGCAATTAAAATTTGTATAGGAGTCGACAACCTCGTAGGTCAATGACAACCTCGGTCAATTTACTCATAGCTTTGCCTACAGGGTTTCATTAACAAAGTGAGTGAGCGATTGGCACAATGTACTTGTATAAAAGCGATCCTGCTTTCAACTTTCTAGTGGGTTTGAATAGAAGTAGGGTTACATTGTATGAAATTGTTTCCATTGATACGGTGCTTTAATTATTGACAGTGTTCCCCCTTTGTATGGCTATGATAATACATAGGGCAAAGTTAATGCCACCCCTTAGGTCTCCCTATTATATCGACCAGTTTTTATTTTTCATTACACTAAAAACAGCTGAACTCTCTCTGTATTACATATGTAACAATATTCATGGTCCTGTTAGGTTTTCTACGTGCATCAGGTATGTTTGCAGAAATGTAGAGCAGTGGCAGTAGCAGTGGAGCTTCTTTTGGAAGAGTTCATCCAGGGAAGTATTGCCACCTTACCTATTTCTGTCACCAAGCAATAATGTTAGCATTACTGCGTTCCGGTTTAGAAGGGTAAGGGTGTTGGTGAAATTACAGGCACATGGGACTTGTCAACTTATGTCTCAGTGTGACGGGCACAGTGGCAGTGCCCTTCAGATCTTTGCCATTAAAAGCTCTGAGTGGCACTGCAACTGTTATGGGCAGGCGTGTCGCTTATCATCAGGCGCAAGACTTGTTCGTCCCGTCACTTGATATTATAAAAAAAAATGTAAACAGACGATTTTTATGTAATGAATATTGCAAAGGACTAGGAACCGCTTTAGCAGTATCCTTAAAATGTTAAATCATAAATTGGTGGAGCATATGCTTAGGCATTTGATGGGTTTATTAACAACGCAAGCTTTTGTGTATTACTAACTGTTGGTTTTTATTTATATATCGAATTACGTCAATTTTTTATACTATGACGTATGTTTTTTTATAGTCATTGTTTAGTGTGCTCTTGAACGTGGTTTATGAAAACATATTAGGTATATTTGTGGAAATAAGAGTACTGCTCTGACGCTGCCTATTCCTTGCTTTCCAGGTTATCTTTTGTACTAACAAATAAGTAATAACATCGAAATAAAGAAAAAAATATTATATTGTAGAACGAAAGAAGGCTCCTGCAATCGTACTATTCACATTACTATTAACACGTCTATCTATACAATATTTCTTTTAACTACGCATAGATAGTACGCTTTTTAACCCTGTCCTGTTTGAAATAATTCAATTAGCGTCCCCCGGTCATGCAAGGGGACACTACGTCAACGACACAACATACATACATATATAGGAAGTCTGATGAAGGTCGTACAGTTATGACGTGACGCTAAATCGATCGTCAGACTCGCTGTCAAGGTTACAGCAATTATAACTACGGTTTAAAACTGGAGTAAGAATTTCTTTTATATTTGCAAGAATGCTTCAGTAGTTTCTCAAAGAGAAGTTTAACATTTTTGCTAACACTCCTAGAAATGAATTAAAGAAACGAATGATATAAAAACCCCAATACAAAACAGAGTACCTACTCCAAAAGATCAATACAGGTACAGTCACTAACAACTTGCCAGACCAATTTAGTCAGCCGAAACACGACAGTTCTGTATGTAGTTGAGGAATTGGGTAGTCACCAGACTGTCCTAGTTGCAGCATCAGGTCAAAGTGATTATATTTGGTACCGAGGATTTTACACATCGAGTATATTTTGCCAAATCATTACGGTGACAACTGCGCTCCGATTGGCCAGTCCGAATATTAAACAATTGACGGGTGTCGTCAATTGTTTCACTTCAAGTCGACCAGTTTAACTTCAGCGTTGCTAAGATGGACGTAAATTGAATAGTTACATATTTAATTACCTATGGAATGTGATTCAGTTTTGTTTTGTAATTAGATGTTTTGCTGTTTCATACACCACCGAATGGAACAGCGCCCCATAGTTAGAGATATTATTTTTATTACAATAAATTCAGAATATTTTTGGAGTTTACGGAGACGTACGCATAGGTCAGTTGTTAGCCTGTACTATTTCAGCATTCTAATTTGTGATTTCAGTGCAACGAGATTTGATATTTAAAAGTGATATAAAGCCCATTTGCCTTATGAGTTGCCAGGGATGAATGGCCCTTGTTTCGTATCTATTCCTGGTTATATAATCGATGCTGCTTTATAAGCAGTTAGATTTACATGATTGAAAGACACATCATTTCTCCTCGGGAATTTTGATGGGAGTGACAACGGAACCCAGCAAAGTAAGAATGACGAAGAAGAAGAATTAGAGCTTGATTCAAAATTTTAAAAGTAAGTGGCCAGGAGCTAGAAAAGGGTGATAAAAAGATCAGATGACGGTAATAAAGAAGTCGCATCGTCACATATTATTGTAATGTCATTGGAGTTCCATAGTACACCACAGAACTTCGAAAGAAGTAAAATAAATATTCATTTTATAACTGAGGTACTGCCTACTGGGAAAATAGTTGATGATCTTTAAACAACTGAACAGATTTCCATCAAACATAGCCAGGAATCTGCTCGAGAAATTAGCATTGAAATAAAAAAACTGCTAGAAGATTAGTCCCCCGTTTGGGAGTTACGATGCCACAGACAGAATACATAGACTTATAACTCCCCTCTTCTTGCGTCGGATGTTAATAGCAGCGGTTTTCAGGTACAGTTGGCGAAATATTCTTTGCACGGATTCGTCTTATCGCTTCATCTTTAGAATACAATAGGACAAAAGAGTGAGCCGACTGGGTAACGCATGTGCCATTGTAGTGTTTAAACACTTTTACGTTCAAAACTTGACAATTTTTATGCGGAACTAACATTGTTGAGTTAGTAAGAAAAGAGTCTATAGTTGGTATTTTACGACGTACTTATGGTTAAAAAAACTACTGAATGAGTAAAGGGATAATTCAAAACTGGAATTCAGAACAAGCATTTAGCGCATCCATGACTTGGACGATGGACCATGATCATTAAGTCCGTGTACACTTCTTTTGGTTTTAGTACTGTATTTTATTAGAAAGGATAGCCGTTCCAAGAGATAATATTCATCGGTGCAAATAATATTTCTTTCAACTATAATACAACAATATCTAGTTTTGATGACTCTGAGCATTTGGTACAACATCCCAGTTTACACAAAATCTGAAATCGCCTATAATAGTAAATAACAACTTGTAAAAACCCTCACGTAGACAAAACAAAGTACATTGAAGGACACATTTTACTAAATTTTCATTAAATACTTTAGCATTGATGTAATAAGAATTGAAATTACGTACACAAATTTATATATGGGATCTTGTACCCCCAAGTATGTTAAGTTGACATATGAATTAAGGTAATGGATTGTTATTTCGGTGTGTACTTCTATAGCAATAATAAATGGTATAAATTCGTTATTGTCAATTGACATATTCACTATCTACCAAGCTTGGACAAACCCCATAAAGCTCTACTTCAATGGAGCCTGAACACCAATTTTTGGATGCAGAAAAGTGCAATCTTGGTTTAGAGAAGAAAGAAAAATCAAGGAAATACATTTTCCGCAACATTAGAATTTAAAATATAAAAGAATGGATCTGACTAGCCTAATAATTAAAAGATTTCAAAATAGACAGACAATAATGGCAACTACCTGGTCTTAAACTAGGGAATTCCCTGCACTATGACTTCCAGAGTAACAATGTTGAATCCTGGCAGTTTGAGTCAGAACACTGAGATCATAACGAATTTAGAAAAGTTGGTTTCTCTAAATTGGTCTTACCGGGAATCAAACCGGTAGTATGGACCGTGAAACGGAGCCCTCCCGACTACATTGGAAATGCCATGATAGATCTGAACAACCCTGGGTCCAGAAAACGAGGAAGACCGAAGATGGGGTGGACAGATTAAATCGCCAAAGATTTAAGGAGCTGACATGTTGCAGAAAACGACACGTTCAACAGAGGAAACTGAACGTTAAGGACAAGAAAATCAGACTTCACCATCATATGGGAATAATAATGCTGAGGAAAGAGACTTACCGGGAATGGAACCCGGCATCGCATCATAGTGTAGCGCTAACAACCATACATACAGCCAAGGTCGTCTAAAATATTTTCGGAATTTGAAGCAGGTTTAAGACTATTTTAAACTGTAATTGATAGCCAAAACATAAACATACGTATCAGGGCAAACACGTTCCAAAGTAGAAACGTGATCAACACGTGAACGTCGCTACGTAACATCGAAAAACAAGAGATGGTCTCAAGGAAGGACAAAAGCCTTAATAACCTAATAAAAAAAAGGTCAACGTACCCATATCGCTTGCGCGGAACCGAATCTCTTCGATTTCTAGGTGATTATTTGTTTACTTCTGAATTGGAACTGGTTTCTATGCGTTTGCGCGGGGTATATAAACCGTCAGTTTTTGCGCTCCCCGATCACCGCACCCCTCCCCTCGTGCGTCATTCAAGACTTAACGCCCACATTCACCACAATTGTGTGAGTAAAAATTTGCAGCAGTGTGAATCATTTATCTATACCGTTTATGTAACAAAACTACTCTGTATAAACGTCGCCGTTAAGTTGGTAAGTGTGTGTGTGAGCGCGTCAAAACAAAACAAGTACATTAGAAAGAAAAATCAGATTAGAATATTTGCTGATTGCAGAAAAAATTACACTCTTTCTATGTATTTATGTCTTTTGCGTATCGATTATCAGTAATATCGTCGGTGTTTTGTAAAAAAGGCGAAAGCGCCCTTTTGAAAAAAACATCAATGTCGCATGCTTTAGTTTTTCACGACTGTTTTAAAATATTTACGTCCTGTTTCAAATTCAATTTTAAAACTTAAACTAATTAAAACCAAAATTGAATTTTTAAAACAGGACGTAAACATTTTAATATTTTATTTTTGAAGGGCAAGGGTGCTGGTGAAATTACAGACACATAGACACATGTCGCTTATCACCAGGCGCACGATTTTTTCGTTCAGTCACTTGGTATTCTATAAGAAAAAAAATAGGCTACTTTTGTCCCAAAAATGAATCTTAAAAGGGATGAAATAGGGGATAGAAGTTTTTATAGAGAACCCATAAAACTATGAAAATTGATATAGTACAGTAGGCTATTTATTCTACGTAGACGAAATTACGTACACCAGCTAGTTATTTAAAATTAAGGTATTAAAATTATCAATAGAATATATTTCAGAATTTTGCCGCGTTGTTGTTATGAGAATGTGTGCAATGGAAGCCGTTGTAAAATGAGACTACGTATAAAAATAAATACAGACACGAGTGGCAATAACAAAACGTGCCTGAGATAAACAACACGTGATAATAATTCCTGGTTTTATTGTTTATTAAATTAGAGTAATAACCATATACTTTATTTACATCGTATCCTGGGTATAATATAGCCATATGTGATCATGTGTGCGGTTCGTGATATATTTTTAGTCGATATAACGCTCAATTAATTTATGGTATACAGACATTTGACATAGTCTTGCATTATAAAAAGGTTACTGGGTATTATAGACGATTGATATAACAATTTTCAATCTAATATACCGACAGCATAATGTTCGTTTTATATAAACACTTCAGATATAGCATTCACTGAGTATATGATAAGCTGCTGCTTTAATTTTTAAAAAAGCACTTAAAGCTATATAAAAACAATTATATTTTGCGATTGCATTTAATGAAATAAAAAAAATTCAAAACAAAACACATTGTCATAACAACAACGGGGCAAAATTCTTAAGTAGGTATACTCTATTGATAAGATTTTTTTACATAATATAGGGCGATTCAACTATTCGTAAAACGAAATATGATGTTATATTATTTAATCATTACATACATTACATTACGTTACATTTTTTAACCATTTGTTCATTATATCTAATGTTTGTCATACTGAAGGGTCATCATACACATTGAAATTACGCCTTTTGTTGTTATATCTTTTGTTGATTACCTACAGAGAGCGATTATATCCTTAGAAATTATATCAAATGTTGTTATACAAAGAGAAAATAGATTATTTGTTGTTATATCTTCCATTACACACCCATGTGATCGTACGTCAAAAATGGAAAGTCATTAAAATAACGCGGACTACTTACGTGATACAAATTATGTATTGTGAAATTTTACAAATCTTATATTTAAGCTGTAAAAGTTATCGCATACATTTTAGCGCTTATCGCGATGAAAGGATGTGCCAATCGGCGTAAGGTACTTGCCATTGTTGCCCAGCGTGAGTCATACGCAGACAGGGAGGCGACGTACCATTGTATGTCGTGCAGGGAGGCTGCTTTCCTGCACCCAACTACCACATGGGACACACAACAGATTCGGTGTTGAATGGAACTTGTCAAGTATGTCTCAGGGTGCCGGGCGTAATGGTATTCAGATCTTAGCGATTAAAGCATTGCAACTGTTGTGGACAGACGTGTCTTTTACCATCAGGCGCATGACATGTTTTTCCATTACCTGGATTCGTAAAAAAAATACCCATACGTTTTTAAGGTAAATCCAAATCTGATCGAGGTATATACGTCCGTTCTCGTCCATATATTTTGCTCTAAGAATTTGTGCCGTCAGTCTACTAATTTCCATGCTTTCTACCAATTTGTCTATAATCTCAAACATCTAAAACATATTGGTTTTCGGGTTTGTAGTACATAAGTAACCAATACTAGATGGACTCTGCTTTTGACGTGTTAAACGAGAAAATGCTGAAAAAAACCTTGCATGGCTTTTATGGCTTTAGGTAAGAAAAAAAAAATAAATTCTTGCAGTTCTATCAATGTATATAATATGTTTAACAATCACCGTCAATGATATTATACTTGTATCTCCGTGGTTGGATGGCTTGCGCACCGATTTTCATGGTGTCCCCATGTCTGAAGTCCCGGGTTCGATCCCCGGCCGGGTCAATATAGAAAGTAAGTTTTCTATATTGTCTCAGGTCTGGGTGTTTGTGGTACCGTAGTTGTTGTCGATTTCCATAACCCAAATGCTTTAGATACTTGCTGTGGGATCTTTTTTTATAATATCAAGTGACGGGACGAAAAAGTCGTGCACCTGACGGTTAGCTACACGCCTGTCCATAACAGCAACTGTGGCATTCAGGGCTTTAAATTGCAAAGATCTAAGGGGCACTGCCACTGCGCCCATCAACCTGTGAGATAATAATAATAATAAAATTATTTAAAAAATGTTTATTTCGGTAATACAATTAATTTTAAATTAACAGTGGATGGTACCTCCTATTAAGCTTATCAAGCCTGTGTCAGGAGGCACCGCTCTTCCATAGCTATAAATGCATATTGAACATTTTTAACTTATACTCATTGACTTACAAATAAATGGACGACGGGTCTAATACAAAAACCACGAAAAAAATGTCCCAAGTCAACCTATTTAAACGTAGTGACATGTAAAGGAATATGAAAAAGCTAAAACGTTGAATTTAAATTGTAATGTCATCGCAGTACTGTCTAATTTTGCTTGCTTCGCTGTCAGTCGAACAAACGAAGACTAAAGCGTGAATGACGCTCTGTATACGATTTTAACGCCCTACAAGTTCGGACACTTTTTAGCGCGGACCCGACGTCCATATAATTGTAAGTCAATGCTTATACTTAATTTAATGTTTAATTTTTACATTTCCGAACATCGTCAAAAGAAACAATTTTTTTTTAATACAACACGACGATACGACGTAAGTTGACAAGTCTCATGTGCCTGTCAATTCACCAACGCAGAGCAACGTATGTGACGTTGTCTAATATTTGTTTATTAACCGACTTCAAAAAAGGATGAGGTTCTTAATTCGGCTTTTTTTGTTGGAAAGAGGGTACCTAAGTAAGTACCTAAGTATTGGTCCCATTTAAATTTGAAGAAAATATTCCATATCTAGAGGTGGCAAACTAGGGGATGTATCCGGTTTCGCGCACTTTCCGTTAACCGATTTCAATAAAACTTGACAAGTAGATGTAATTCCACGAACTTTTGAGGTTGTTTTTTTTTATATAAAAAAGTTCGTAACGTTAAAATTATTAATTAAATTTTTATTGAATTGATATTCAATTATTTCTTGTGAAATGACTCCACTAGTTTGTTATAATTATTAATACAAAGATCGAACACTCAGAAAAAACACTCAGAAAAAATTCCTTCGATTCGGTCGGATTCGAACCGACGTCTTCTTGCATACCGTGCCAGACGCTGTACCAACTGAGCCACGGAGTAATTTCATAAAAAATAATTGAATATCAATTCAATAAAAATTTAATGAATACAGTGAATAGCGACATCTCGCGCCAGGTCTGGTAGCTGTAAAGGTACTAACTGGGTGATAAATCTGTAATAGATTTCTCATAGATGGCGCTACGACTAAAAAGTCGTTGAAAGACCAAGTACAAAGACACGACGCAAGCACATAGAAAAATTCGTGAGGTCCGTTGGTTAATTTCGTGGCTTAGTTGGTATAGCGCCTGCCACGGTATGCAAGAAGACGTCGGTTCGAATCCGACCGGATCGAAGGATTTTTTTCTGAGTGTTTTTTCTGAGTGTTCGATCTTTGTATTAATAATTTAAATTATTATTTATTTGTACGTTCCATCAAAATATATAAAACAGATTGTTAGAATGTTTATTTTTGAAACCTATGTAAGTACATCGTTATATGAAAAGAGACGACCGGTGTTATTGGATATTGAAAAGATTCAACTTCAATTTGGTATGTAGAACAATTGTTTATTTCACATTTGTTTGTTATTTTTTCCTTCAATTGTCCGTAATGAGTAGAGCTCTAGGTCAATAGTAATGAGCAACCAGAAATACCAACGCGGTTAGTGTTTACCCATTTATTATTGCGCACTTCATTAGTAATAATAATAATCCTTGTTTTACTATGACATACAACTCTCAATTGTCAGAATGCGTATTTTTGACCCCCTGAAAAAGAAGTGAGTTATAAGTAAGTTTAACGCCTTTATCTGCAGTGGCGGACTTGTCAAGTTATATCCCAGGATGGCAATGCCCCTCAGATCTTTGCGATAAAGCTCTGAAATGCAACTGCTATGGAGAGGATAGACGTCATTACCAAGTAGCACGACTTCTTCGCTACGTGGTGATGAACGACTATCACTTAGTGTCATAAAAGAAAAGATCTATTTCGTCAACTTCCTAAAAATGTCACTTTATTACAGAGGGTGTGAAATGAAGGTTAGTTGTACGAAAACAATCGACCCGTCTATTTCAAGAAACGCTGAAAGGTGCACGACCTTCCGCAAATCACCACTTTGGCGCAATGGAAAAGTATTGATCGAAGCTTCTAGAAACATTGCGATGTGGATCCTTGGGTTGA